GTTTATTGAGTTACATAAGAATTTAAATTGAAATTTTGCTACAGATGTCTACTTCAGGAAAACTGGATTGGAACGATCACCAGGTCTTTGTAAAGATCTAGAATGGATTAGCCAACAAGATCTTGTGATTCCAGAACCTAGCAATCCAGGAGTTACTTATGTCACGTATTTGGAGGAATTAGCAGACAAAAGTGCCCCGCATTTCTTGTCCCATTTCTACAATATATATTTTTCGCACATAGCTGGTGGTCAAGTGATTGCAAGACAGGTATGCATGAATGGACATTCTTGCTTAGGCTTCAACAAAGTCATGCTGTGTAGTAGTGTCTACTTTTCAGTGCTTGAAGTAGTACAGCTGAACAATTTTGTAAATTTGAGCCTGTAAACCTTTATAATGTTATTATTTTGATATTGGAACTTTAGAAGACTTGCTGTGTACAATTTATGTTGTGCTTTTCAGAAAACACTGATCAAAAAGAGAATTATGCACACTAATAGCCTCTCTATAAAGAGGAGGCAAAAGAATGTTCAATGTCTGAGATGAGCATGCGAGAGCCTAAAACCATAATTTGTTGCCAATACAGAGTTGCTCATACCAAATCAATCATATTTGTCTGATGTTTTATTGTCTTTAGGTTTCTGAAATGCTTCTGGAAGGAAGGGAGCTGGAGTTCTATAAATGGGATGGCGATGTACAAGAATCATTGAAAGTTGTATGTGGCAAGCTCAACATGCTTGGAGAGGTTGATGATTCAGATTGCTATGGACATTTCATTTGTTTCCTTTTGCTGACATTTTTCTCCATAACTCTTATTTTCTTTTATGCTTGCTATGCTTTGCAGCACTGGTCTCGGGAGGATAGAAACAAATGCTTAAAAGAAGCAGCAAAATCATACAAGTTTTTGGGGCAGATAATTCGCTTGATCATCTTATAAACCAGATTGGTAAGGCCACAACCTTTTCCACCTTATTTTTCTCCCCCACCCCTCTTCCTTCCAAAAGCACTGCATGCCCACGGTATGGGAAGATCATATCAAATCTGTTGATATCCCAGTAACAGAGCAACAGTTCTCTTGCTTAAACCTTAGCTTCTCCTTCTCATTGTTGCAGCCCAATATCATTAAGGTGTGCTTTCTTGCTTTTCACCAGGTAACACATTCCAATTGTAGACTTAACTCAGCACCAGTCTTTGTTTTCTATTCACCGAGCTGTCGGGACGGCCCTCAAATGAGTAACTGGAGCTGTGTCATGTATTCAGGAACATCGGTGTCCTCTAGTGATGACATTATTTACTTTGGGACACTCAGCTAAGGAAGCAGCTTTTATTATTAAGCCATGTCTACGCTAGTGACTGGTGCCTCCACTGACTGGATGATGTTTCATAGTGAATGGCAAGTTCTATAGTGCTGATGCTTTGGCTTTGTTGCAACACACAAGAAGCCAAGAATGCCGAGTACTCAGGATTTGCTTAACAATGCACCAATGTTATGAACTATTTGAAATTTGAGAAGAGATAGCAAAGTGGGAATAGAAACTAGATATAGAAGGAATATATTCATTACATCTACTCTGCTGTTCAAGCACAGTTATCAGTCTGTAGTGGGAGTATTGCCAAGAAAAGTGGAGGAAAAAAGTAGAAAATCTGAGAGCAACCAGGCTAGTGCGAATCAAAGAACTTGCCATTTCTGTCTCCCTATCTTCTTTTATTTCATCAACAGAAATGGAAAAAAATAAAGAAAAACAATCTGTAGTACCTTATGTCAAATCAAAGAATATGTCTTTGATCATTAATAAAGTGCATATTTCTCTTTATTTCCCCACTTGCTTCTTCTTTCTGAAAAATAATAACTTGCTGCATCACAAACTGAGAGGTATTGGCATATATTCCTATTGGCACATAAGGGAGAGCAATGCATACAAGTAAAGCCCATTTACAGAAGAACAATGCTTAGCAATTTACTATGATATTTGAGGCTGAGTGCTTCAAGATAGACACAACCATGCATGATCTAACCAAATACTATGGCATTCAAGGATGCAATCCTACTCTCTTGTGAAGGACATTAATCCTTTGTTATCTGTTTGGAATTTGTATCTGACTTTTGCTCAGAGTTGCTCTAGAAGGGATAAAATAATATGAAGAATCCCACTTTTAAATATGGTAACTTATGACAGGCGCATCAACAAACCAAATACTATAATATGAATAATGCATATCCTAATAGTAATAAGTACTTTTCTAGGTGGATAAATACAAAAGGAAAGTACGGTAGAGGTGCATAAATGGCGTCGTTCTCCACGAGGAAGTGCTCACTCAAACAGAATCTGAGTTCAGCTGCTCTTTGTTCTTCTCTCCTAGTACCATTATATTTCTCTCTTTTCTATGGAAACCCCCTTAATAAAGGGGACGGTTGATGCCTTATTCTTTTTCTTCCTTGCATTCTTCTTTCAAGGGGATGGCGGAAGATATATTCCACCACTCCAACAAGGTCTAACCTCACCCTGTTTCCTTCTATTCTTTTCTTTACTGGGATCCAGACACATTGTTTTGGCCTTTTCACACTTGAATAAAATCTGGGTTCTTTCCAAGTTTTCTCTCTTGTTGTTTATGGAGTTTTATGTTGATTGGATTAGATGGAAATATCTTAGCAGCACGTGTTACATGGTTTGCAGTTTACACGAACACATTGTTAAACCTATAATATGCATGCCTTTGACCTGATATTTTCGCACTCTGACCATTTCTTTCGCCTTCTTTCTCTCGAAATCTAAGAACTCAAAAGGAATCCGAAACCAAACCCTTCTTTTAACTTTCTGCTTACACTTTATGAGTTTTACTGTTTTATGGAGAATTTTACATGGAAGCCTCAGTAAGTTCTTATGTCCACTAGTTGTGTTTTCCGTGCTGCATTTTCCAGTTCTTGATCACCCTGCTGAATCCTTAACTGTTAATTTCTTCCTGGCAAGCTAGTTTCAATGCCGTTTTGTTTTTCTTCTGTTTCATGAATCATAATATAATATAAAGGGTAATGTTTGAAAGACAGGATGCGAAGTTCATAAAGGCTCCTAAGAAATCTCCATTGATATTAACAATGGTGGTCTTGTTTTTGCTCATGGTTTCTGGAGTTTACATCTTCTCCATCTGGTTGAGGCAGATAAGCCCACGAACAAACGCCAAATTTCTAAACATCAGAGTCCTTGACCACCTGCAACAGCAATGTCAAGCTCCAAACATTGAACAATGGGAAGCTCCATTTATACATTTTCCAAATCCTGAAACATTTAGCAGGTACCAACAATGTAATCTTCTTTGATTATTATCCACGCACTGGCTCTCAAGTTATATGTTGTTTAAAAGTTGAAGCTTGTTCTATGCAGGAAAGAATGTGTCTGCAACCCAGTAAGATACTTCGCCATATTGTCAATGCAGAGATCAGGGAGTGGGTGGTTTGAGACATTGTTAAATAGTCATACAAATGTTAGCTCAAATGGAGAAATCTTTTCAGTTAGGGATAGGAGAAGTAATGTGTCTTCAATACTGAAGACAATGGACAAAGTTTATAATCTTGACTGGTTCACTAGCGCTTCCAAGAATGAGTGCTCAGCTGCAGTTGGGTTCAAATGGATGCTTAACCAGGTAAAGTGACACAATTTCAGATTTCTTCAAAATTTCAAACTGCATATGATGCTCATTAAACATTTTACAGGGTTTGATGGAGCATCACGATGATATTGTGAAGTACTTCAAGAACAATGGGGTTTCTGCAATATTTCTATTCAGGAGGAATCTGCTCCGCAGAATGATATCTGTGCTTGCAAATTCCTATGACAAGGATGTTAAGCTATTGAACGGAACCCACAAATCTCATGTCCATTCATCAGCCGAGGTTTCTTTCTCTGTCTCACTCAGACTCTCACATGCATGTCTCTACGTCAATTGCTTACCATCTCGTTGGATTGCAGGCTCAGATACTTGCAAAATACAAGCCAACTATAAATACAACGCAACTCATTCCTGAGCTGAAGCGATCAGAGCAAACAACTGCCAAGGCTGTTGAATATTTCAGCAGCGCCCGCCATATAGTTCTGTACTATGAGGATCTTGTTAAAAACCGCACGGTAAGAGTTAAAGACTCTAGGTTTTTTTTTTTCCATAACCTTGGTATTTAAGCTTCTTTACAGACTCGAGTTGAAGTTTCCTCCGACTGCAGAAACTGAGAGAAGTTCAAGAGTTCCTAGGATTGCCATACAGAGAGCTCAGTAGCCGTCAAATTAAGATACACACGGCACCATTGTCAGAGCAAGTAGCTAACTGGGATGATGTTCAGAAAGCACTGGAAAAAGCGTCATCATATGGGAGCTTCCTCCATTCAGATTATAAAATTTAGTTTACAGTTGTTGATTGTTGATTATACTCTTTCCTCTGCTACAATACTTGTGCTAATCCAGCAAACTTTGGTCAGTGAGGATTCTTCTAATTCTGTCTTCAAGTTCATATCACAATCAAGTATTCTTGAAATAGTTAATCCACCTCCCTTACTAGAACTATGATTCTTTGGAATAATCACTATAATCAAAAGCTTAAGTAGGCATCGACTGGCTTTTAAGTAGTATAAAAACCAATACTCCAATAGATGCTGGAATGTACAGCTATGCAGTTTCATTGGAATGATCATAGCCATCTAAACATTATCTTTAACAAACCCAATGCAGTGAACATTGTGATAACTAGATCATCAAATCAAGCGTGCACTGCCTCATGTCAGCATGATCAAAAACTACTGCATATGGATTTAGATTCCACGGGTAATGAAGCAAATTGAGATGCAGATGAGTTCCATGTAGAACTAACTTTCTTCCTTTTTAACTTTTTTCTTCATTTCTTCCTAAATGTAGGTATTACAATGATGTTACAACCAAGATCAGCGACTAAACTGACCCATTATTTGTTACAGAATCAGGTTTATCTGTTTGTCTAATAACAAATTGATCAACAACCCTGACAGTATTCACTGGATCCTGCTGGCCTGAAGATGCACTCCATTTACTAGGATATTTTCTGCGATGGCTCAACTGTGGTGACTGTTTGGGCTCCCCATCCCAATCAGGATCTAACTTCCATTCCTTGGGAACCTGCATGTCAAATGGATCAGTGTTTGTCTCACGAAAGTCTATATTCCAGGTTTCCTGACAGAAAAAGGTGCTGTAAAAACACACATCAGGCTGCTAATTTTCAAATCCACGTAATGTACTGGCAGAAAAGGGGTGGATGAGGTAATGGTGTTCTCAACATGCAGGTAAAGGAAAAACTAATAAGTTCAAACGATGAAGACAAACCTAAAGAAAAAGACATCAACAAGTGAATAAATATTGGTTTCTTACCTTATCGACTGCAAGAGTGAAAACTTCAAGATCACCATCACGAGTGATGTGGAATCGTGTGAATGATTTGTAATTAGCAATTCTAAGAGAAGAGAAGGCCTCGTCAAAGTGTATGTGAAGCCAGTTAATGCAGATATATAAATAGCTTCCAAACACCAATGAAACCACTGGGGTTGAGAACACCCAGAAGTAGAGGAAGACTGACGCATAATATATGACAGCACCTCCTCGGGATAGCGACTGTAATCCGTTCTTGCAAATATTGCTTCTGGTGACAGCCATAACCTGGCAATTTTTCCTCCATTAATGTAGTTAACGATTGAAAAGGTATCATGTCTCCCAAACTAGGAGAGTTTCTTACCTCCGGAACATCAAATGCAGACATGAGATACTTGATACATGCTGGATAAAGGCCAAACGTCCATTGCTCTATACGAGCTCGAAGACCAGTAGGATCTGGAAAATGCTCACTTTCCACTGATCGGTACCACTGGTACAAAGAGTGATAACCTGAACACAGTAATTAATCATCAACAACTACTACTAAAAAGACCATGAATACAGCCATCACCAAAGTAGAATGAATTACTTTTATGCCATATTAACCTCTTTCAGTGGCTTCACTGACAATTGTATACGTTCATGGAGCTTAAAAAAATTTAAACTGCTTGGAGCAGATAATGATAAAAACATTATAATTCAGGTGATCAGAGCAACAACATTAACCGTCTTGCTATTGCAGAAAAGATAATTAAAATGTAACTCACCTGAGGTTGCTAGAAGTTTATGCCGAATACACGTTTCCAGACCTAACTCCAAGAGCAGCATAAGGATAAGGGCCGCAGCTAGATGTGCCGAAACATGAAGAATTCCAATTATTGCCCGCTTCTTCCGTGCTAATTTGGAAGGAACAAATGCAATTGCTGTGATCAGCAATAGCACTACACCAGCCAATGATATAAAAGAATGTTCCAGCACGTATATAAAAGAATTCCATACAGTGCCAAAGAAACTTCTCATATGACCAGAAAATGAATCATCTTGCCAAATGTGATCGAGCTTACACTAAAAAAGGAGGGAGACAGATCATTCAATATTATACTACATGTAAGCTTTCCGATTCAAAAAGAGGGGGGGGAGTTGTGATCCTAATAAACAGCTCACTTTAGGTCCAATTACAGTTTAAGTTAGAATAACCAAGTCAAATGTACAAATTTCAAAGAATTTTAAAGAAATTCACCTGTGGAAACATAGAGAAAACCAATATAAAGTATATAATGCCACCAATGAAATCAAACTGCCAATTCTTCTTCCGAAACTTCAAAATATTACCCAATGCAATCTGTATCAAAGAACAACCCCAACATGAATGTGAACTCAGAGGAAACAAGACAAATGGAATCTAAGAAATACTAAAGAAGAGAAAAATCCAAGAGTACCCTGCTTGAATCATCAAAAGAAGGATAAGCGGCTTTACACTCATATGTTTTTCCATAAAATTTGTTAAAATTACTAAACACATGAGTTGGGTGCAAAAAGGCCCCTCCACACCCATTTACAAGAAGATGCTGCACATGAACTGGACCTTCTGATGGAACACATGAATGGCGCATATAATGATGCAGGTCCCCAGCAATTCGAAGTTTACACCTTCCTTTTAAGTAATCACATATCAGGTGTGAGACATTCTCCCCAGAAACGCCATTCCAATACCAATCAAGAAGCCAGTGTGGTTCATGGGTCATAATGATCACAGAATCATTTTCTCCAAGCTGAAAAGGAAAATGGAGGAAACAAAATTATTCTCAACCAACATAAAGTTTTGGACGGAATATAAGAGATAAGCACAGAATGCTAAACATATGCTTATATTTATAGTGTTATACTAATTGGTAACAGTATCAGATTGAAAGCATAAACATATGCTTGCACGACAACTTCTTCCAAAACTAGGTACATTTAACTGTGAGCAGTCCATTGCAAGCAGACTTCTTAAGGTACACACTAGTATTGAGGAATCAAAGTTTGTGATCCATTTACTCCATATGATATGAATTACTATACATGTGCATCCAGGCCAGTATGCCTCAGGCCTCAAATGCAACATACACAACTCAGTTAATGCACAACAGCGCCACTGGAATGTGAATTCTCTGGAATGCATTGATAGAAGACAACTAACAAGACATCTTTTTAAAAAAAAAATAGATGAGTCTTCCACAAAGTTACAAATATATCCCCTCCTTCAGTAAGGTGTATTTCTGATCATAGACGATTCAAAATGTAACATTAATAGCAAACATGACAGAAAAGGACAGATATTACGAGTAAGTGATACCTTGTTCTTTACTAATTCAGAAAAGAACTTGAACTGGTACACATCGATGTCAGCATGGAGTGATAAATCAAGACCAAATACCCACCACCTTTTTGGGAGCTGCAAAGCAAAGTAACTCTTCTTCTGAGGCATAAACCACCCACCCAACCAGCTCTTGTGGCATATATACCTCATAAACGTATTAAGTCCATCAAACCAATCTGTAAAGTTAAAGCATAATGCCATTACACATGGTTGAATTTTTAAATAACAATAAAAGTAGAAGGCTTCTTTATTAACAAATATAAGGTTCTACTAAGGAAACATGTGATAATTGTTCAGACAATGAGTAAATTACAGTAATATATACTTAAAAAACAATGGAATGCCTCCTTTGAACTTTTCTCTCAAGCAGAAACATGGATCACTCAAGATTATATTCAGGCTAAAAAGTAAGACCTACCATGATTTCCAGGAATAAGAAAACACTGAGGTCCATTGTATTCCTTGAGTTCAGATACCCCTTCTGGTAACTCAGGCTTGTTTGCAGCTATGTGCTCTGGTTTGTACCAAGGTGGAGGCTGAAGAGCATATTCAAAAGGACAAAAGAGACGCCTTTCATACGTGAATCCCGATGGATTAGGATACCTATCACATAAGCCACAAGTTATGAGTATAAACCATCAATATGAGAACACTATTATCACTAAATTATCAACCAAACAAACAGCAATATAGAGGCTCTAGCTACATGAATAATAAACCATCAATATGACAAGTTTGATTTTATCCAGTCAAGCTACTTGTACCCAAGACATAGTACCAACTTACGCAAGATCTCCTCCAATAAGTAGCAGGTCCCCACGTGGCAGCGTAAGCACAGAATCATCTCTAGTAAGCCGAATGGAAGGTTGAGCAAGCAGCCGAGCCACAGCATATGATGAATTTCCACCATCGCCAGTATCAGCCATGAAATCAAACCATAGATCTTCCTTTTCACTCAAATGATCATAAAAAAGATCATCTTGTTTAGCTCCATCGTGAACCCTGCTCATTGCTGCCTGACAAAGGCAGAAAGGAAGAATAAAAATTCATTCCTTGATGGAATATCAGGAAATTTTTGCTTATAACAGCAATCCTTATAACACCAAAAAAATACATATGTTATGTTAATTCATATAAAATCAAAATATAGAACAATACCTGCATCATGCGCATGTCAAACCGGCCAACAAACACAGTTACTGATACCAAGAGGTCAAAAACAGTCTTGAACAAGTCAGCTGATGTTCTGCGAAATTTGGGATAAGCATTTTAAGGGCAAAAGATTGAAGCCTTTTGGCTGCCACCACAAAGTGGGGTAAAAAAATGAGAAGCTAAAGATAAAAGACAAAGAAATAGTAATTACCCTGAATACCAAGGAACCATATCCAAGAAATCTGGTTTCATTTGATTCTTTTTCAGCTTCTCGAATTCTTCAACAGACAAAGGGTGAGTAAGAGCCCACCTGTGTTTGATGCAGAAAATACAGCAAAAAATTATAATGAAGAGTAAGAATCAAGGCATGTAGAAGCAAGAGTAGCTCATTCCTATAAAAGATACCAATCTTGGACCCAGAAACTAATACAAGTCATCTACAGGATGGATAATCAAGAACTGGGAAATGGTTATCGACAGAATACTCATGCATAAAAAGTCTCATTGCAATGAAAATGAACCTTGATGTGAGAAAATATAGCAATCTGAACATTGGATCCCATGCAAGATATTATACAGTTCCTCTTTCAAACATGTAACAAACAGATACATTTCACACATTACGAACAAGCTATATGCTTCCACTCACCCTGTTGATCTTTCCACTACGTAATTGGCAATGTAAAGACCAATAAATGTAGCCCACAGTGAGTATATGGGAGAAATTTCATCTGAG